GCCTCACGACCCTGGGTAGGTGGGGGTGGGGATGCTATCATGAAGGCCAGGAAGGGCAACTTGTAGGGTATGCAGGGGCAGGAGAGAATGGGGGGAAATCAGTGTTGTCTGAGCTCGGGTGCTAAGGTCAAATGTGTACAGAGGCCATCCTGCCTGGGGTCACTAGGAGTGTAGATGGGGTGTGTGGGCACCTCTGTCTCCCAATGCCCTCGCAGCCCTTTTACACCCCACTTCCACCCTCAGATGAGTCCAGAATATTGGTACTAAGCATACCCCTACTCCCCAGTCCCCTCAACTGGAGACAAAGAGACTGAGGAAAGTAGCAGGAGCAGCCCCCACCCCGTCTCCCACTCACACTGTGCAATATCCATGCACTCGGCACTAGGGCAGGAACACACAGGTAGGGGCAGGTTTGCAGCTAGAGCCCCTTACTGACATGCTCTCAGGACCTGGGACAGTGTGCACATCCCTAAGGAAAATCTCCCGAAAGACACATGCACCCTATATTCCTGTTTGTGTTTTTTTGCTAGCTTACCTACCTATCTGTACTTCCAGATTCTTCCTCTATTTCCCCCGGCCTGCTGCCGGTTTCTGTGTCCTTCTTTTCTAACCATTTCTCTCTTCCCCTGGCCGGCCTCCAGGTCAGGTCTGGGGAATTGAGGGAATAAGACAAAATCTCAGCAGGAGGTGTGAGGGGTTCTTAAAACTACACAGCAGGAAGCTGGGCTGGGAAAGTGCAGGCCACCACCAGAAATCCAACTTGATACTCTTGTATGAAGTGGCTGCTGGGTGCCAGCATGATGGTGGGGTTGCAAAGAGAATGAGGCCCTGCCTGCAGGAGTACCCAGCCTGATGGAGGAACCAGACATGTAAACAACTCACTGGACAATTGTGGGACGGAAAGTGCCAAGTGCTTAATAGGCCCCTGGAGAGCACCAAAAATCACTTTCTTTTGACAGGTGGATGGGTCGTCAGTGTCTTCCTACTTACCCTCTTCCCACACCTGCTACCCCAGCCCACGACCCAGCCACAGGCCTGTGCCTTTCTGGCTACCTCCTCCTGGAATGCCTTCTGCTCAGGGTCATCAGCTCTTCCCTTCCATCTAAGAACAGGGAAAATTGTCAGGGTGCAGAAGGGAGAAGCATAGGGGCTCTGGAGTCCAGAATGTGGGGAGTGAGATAGGGTCTGGGGTTACCTGGGGTCCTGCTCCAAAGGCGGTTAGAGACTAAGAGACACAGGGAGGTTGATGAGTCAGAGGGGAGGCTTGAGAACGTAGATCTGAAAGAATCTGGAAAAGAGGGCCACCCAGAGTGGGAAAGTGGTGTCAGTGGTCCCATTCCCCTTTCCTGGAATACCGTACAGGAGGTCTGGGGACCTGCCTTCGCTGATGCCTTTCTGTCTGTCCCTGTCTTTCCCCATCCATACCTTCTCCTTTTCATGGCCACCTTTGTGTCTGTGGACTCTTCCTCTGGGTGCATCCTATCCATTTGTGTCTTCTTTGCCATCTGGGTCTCCCTGCCTCCATCCTTGACTCTGACTCCTCTCTGTCTCGTGTGGGTATCTCTCTGCACTTTCCTATATTGGCATTCCATTCCCTTTTTCTGTTCCCATGGCTCACTTTGGGCTGCTTCTCTTGTCCTCGGCCTCAATCCGGTGTGACTATTTCTCTCCACATCCCTGTCTTGTCTGCCTGTTGTCCCTGACACTGACCTTTGTCCCTCCGTCCCTGCATCCATCTCTGTGCTGGGTCCTACCACTGCATCTCACTCCTCATTCATCTTGGCCCTTTCCCCACCCATCTGAGCAGCAGCGTCCCATCCAGCCCTCTTTCACCAAGTCCCTCTGCCGAGAGTCCCACTGGAAGTGCCTGCTGCTCTCGCTGCTCATGTACGGCTGCCTGGGGGCCGTGGCCTGGTGCCACGTCACCACGGTGACCCGCCTCACCTTCAGCAGCGCCTACCAGGGCAACAGCCTCATGTACCACGACAGCCCCTGCTCCAACGGCTATGTCTACATCCCCCTGGCCTTCCTGCTCATGCTGTACGCCGTCTACCTGGTGGAATGTTGGCATTGCCAAGCCCGCCATGAGCTGCAACACCGAGTTGATGTGAGCAGCGTGCGGGAGCGTGTGGGCCGGATGCAGCAGGCCACACCCTGCATCTGGTGGAAGGCTATCAGCTACCACTATGTCCGACGCACTCGCCAGGTCACTCGATACCGGAATGGAGATGCCTATACTACCACCCAGGTGAGGGGCTGGAGGAGAACACAAACCAGTCCAGAGGGGAGGGGGTACTAGGACCCTATCTATCTCCTTGGGGTGGGGAGCACAGGCAGCAGTGAGGTCCTCTGGGCATTGCAGTAGGAAAACGGTAAGAACAAGCATTATAACAGCAGCAAACACTAACAGTCAGGCTCTGCTCTCAGTGCTTACAAATAGTAAATCACTTATTTAACCCTCATAACAACCTGAGAGGTAGATAATGTTATCCCCATGTTACACATGAGGAAACCAGGATTGGAGAGGTTACTAATTTGTTCCAAGTCAAACAGCTAGTATACGGTAGAGCTGGGATGTGAACCTAGGTAGTCAGGCTCCAGGGTCTATACTGTTTGGTGCTTAGTGGCTGGAGACGACGTCATGTGCTGTTTCAAAGCATGCTCTCACCTGTTCACTGAGGTGGCTGCTACCAAGTTCGCTTCCACAGATAAGGAAATCTAGGCTCAGTGATTTGCCCAGGGTCTGAAGCTTCAAAACAGTAGTGCTATACTCAAACTCAGGTCCCTGGGTCCCAAGACCAAGGCTCCCAGAAGTGAGGGTGAGTGGATGACAAGGTGGAGGTAGGTGTGAGAGGCCCCCTGGAGATTGTGGTGGAGTGTTGATCAGCCTTTCAGGGACCTGCTGGTATTAAGCATATTAGGTCCCTGGGAGAGGGCAGGAAGGTTTCCGCAGATGAGGGTGACCTTTACCTTAGTACCGGGGTGGGGAAACAGGAGTCTGGGGCCTGTGAGAATCAGAATGGAGGCCGGTGCTGACTAGGGAAGAACAACAAGACCAGAGAAAAAGGCATTTGGCGTTTGGAAGCACTTTTAAAGGGGAAGAAGGGCTGGCTATTTGGGGGTGGCAAGGGGTTAGTGTGAGCAGTGGAGGCAGTGGCAAAGAGTCTGGCAAGTTCGTGGCCAGAGTTTTACCCTCCGACTGAGCAGAGCTCCATTAAAAGTAGAAAGCACACAGGTGGTGATGAGTTCTAGTTCCGCCCTTATCTCCAATCCCCTGGCCTCAGTGTCTATAAATCAGGCGGTGAGATACCCGGCTGCAGCCGGGGTCTGAAAGCAAGATAGGCTTGGGGCTTGAGAGGCAACGAGAGCAGCGATGGGGCAGAGGAGGGTGAACCGACAGAGCGACTCCCGCGTCTTCTCGGCGCCGCAGGTCTACCATGAGCGCGTCAACACGCACGTGGCAGAAGCGGAGTTCGACTACGCGCGCTGCGGGGTCCGGGACGTGTCCAAGGCGTTGGTGGGGCTGGAGGGCGCGCCGGCCACGCGGCTGCGCTTCACTAAGTGCTTCAGCTTCGCCAGCGTGGAGGCCGAGAACGCGTACCTGTGCCAGCGCGCTCGCTTCTTCGCGGAGAACGAGGGCTTGGACGACTACATGGAGGCGCGCGAGGGCATGCACCTCAAGAACGTGGACTTCCGCGAGTTCATGGTGGCCTTCCCGGACCCGGCCCGGCCCCCGTGGTACGCCTGCTCGTCAGCCTTCTGGGCCGCGGCGCTGCTCACGCTGTCGTGGCCCCTGCGCGTGCTGGCCGAGTACCGCACGGCCTACGCGCACTACCACGTGGAGAAGCTCTTTGGGCTGGAGGGCCCCGGCTCGGCGAGCAGCGCGGGCGGCGGCCTGAGCCCCAGCGATGAGCTGCTGCCCCCGCTCACGCACCGCCTGCCGCGGGTCAACACGGTGGACAGCACGGAGCTCGAGTGGCACATCCGCTCCAACCAGCAGCTGGTGCCCAGCTACTCGGAGGC